AGGGAGGCAGGAGGATTTGATTGTTTGTGAGGGAGAATTTCATACTTCAAAGTAAAATAATTGTCATTTACTAGAACATATAATTATATTTCATTTTTAAGGACATATCAGTAAATCAGCATTTATAAATAAATAGTGAATAAATAGTATACATTGTGACCGAAAAGTTTTCGGGAAATTTTAAATAAAACGCAAAATTCTTAACCTTCATCAATATTTATTTTATCTCCTTCAAAATATGCTCCATTAGAAGCGATACACAAATGCCAACGTTTCTTCCAATCATCAAAACATTTTTTATAGGCGCTTTCCGGTATGGCTTTGAGTTCCCTCTGCGAATTCTGTTTTACGTCTTCTATGGATTCAAAACGCGTTCCTCTGAGTGGTAATTTGAGGTTGGGAAACAGGAAAAAGTCACACGGTGCAAGATCAGGTGAATACGGTGGCTGTTCGATGGTATTTATTGAATGTTTGGCCTTAAAATCGTTGATAATGTTGAACAAATTGAGGTGAATCGGAACAAGCCGGGCGTTGACACGTCGCATACACAAATTGTCCACCAAAATCAAACGAGCCATCTCACGACCGATGCCTAGCTCTCGTGCTATCTCTCTAACACTCACATGAGGATTTTTGAACACGATTTCCTTTGCCTTTTCAATGTTTTCGTCGGTGGTAGAGGTCGAAGGTCGTCCAGAACGCGGCATGTCTTCGACGGTCGTACGACAGTCCTGAAAGGCTTTGTACCACTCATAAACTTGAGTTTTCGATAAAACTGATTCCCCATAAGCCTTTTGTAGCATTCGCAACGATTCTGCACACGAAATTTCGTTCGAAAAACAAAATTTGATGCAAACTCTTTGTTCAATATTTTTTTCCATTGTTTTTTTCGCAACGCACTACTGAGGTGAACTGGTTTCAACAGCTGCCGTAAACGAACTGTCCGACAGATCGCGCTCATTTTTGGCATAGTAATTAACGACAGTGCTGCCAAACTACATAAACTTAAAATATCGAAAAATATACAGCGCGCGAATTTTAAATGAGAATTTCCGAAAACCTTTCGGTCACAATGTATATGCAGATAATTACGTTTCATATGTTTTCGAAATGAATCTAAAGTGGACTATCATAATGATAATTGCTGTGCATGCACTTGTTCGTTTACTCAACTCTACTTTGCTCTATTGCTCTACAGATACTAGTGCATTTGGAACCTTTTAGAAGTGGAATGTACTAGTGTGTTTACATCAATTTTAAATAATTAAAAATGTTGTTATACTGAAAATTTTTTAACTGCAAATTTAGTTTTAACTTCAATTCTGTACTCGTATGCAGTCAATCGTGACTTCAATCAAATTTGCAGAGCCTAAAGCACGATTTCATGCCAAACATTAGGTCACATGCACCAAGAATTGTAGTGTTCTGATTTCAAATTGAGTCATATAAATTTTAATTAACATTCAAATTAATTTCTACAATTACTTCGTTAAGTGCAAAATAATGTTAAATTTAAGTTGCTGAGCTAAACGGGTTATGTTTGAAGTTACATGAAACATTAGCGGTTAAACTCCATTTGATATTTTTTTTTACAAAATAAATGAAAATTTGAAATAAAATCGTATAACAAATGTAAAAATATGCAGAGCTTTAAAATATGTTTAAATTATTATTTTACCATTCACGATACAATATATCATCGACTCTCGAACTTTTCAAATTCTATATATTTATAGAAAATGACAGAAATCAAGAAGTATATACATATAAAACATATTTCAATGTTACAATTCATAATTACACTACACTACATGTTTTAAACAACAATTAATTAAAAAGCCTCAGAAATATCTTATATCTTATAATTTATCCAGTTTCCTACAGAATCAAGTGAACCTAACAAAATTACTGTACTACGGGGTAAAAAATTTCAGATACCTATATACTCGTAATAACTTCACCGCAGTTTCCTGTTGATCTCAATGCTATGAAATTGGCAAAAGAATAATATGGTTATTAGATACATAACAACTTTTTTGGCTTTAAACTTAAATAGTATTGCTAAGCAGCTGAGCAAGCTAAATGCTTAAAGACAGAAGCAGTTGACTGTTTACCGAAAAAATGAAAAACCGTGTTCTAACAAAGATATTGTTTACTAACGTAGAAGCTTTATCAAAATCCATTATGGTTCCTTATATTATGGATAAAAAGATTTATAATACGTGTGGTCTCATCACAAGCCCTAACTACCTCTTAATAAACTGGTTTATCATATTATGAAAACCTTAAAATAAACGAAAATAAATGAAATTCTGTTCCCACATATCCACATTCTTCCCGAATATAACATTAAAGAATAGTTATGAGAAATGCAGAGAGAAGACTTCAGTTTTTACAAATTTAAAATAAAATTATAAATAAAATATGTAAACATTATTTTCTAAAATCCATAGAATCTTAATTTCAACTTACAAAAAATACAGTTGATGAAGATCTTATTCAACATCTTACAAACTCCAACCGTTATAAGTAATGCTAATCCTTATATTAATTTCTAAAAACTCTGGTGAGTAAACTGATTATACTGAACGTACCCTTGAAATAAATGTCAGAAACGAAATGAAAAACCAAATTGGTAAAAAGTAAATTTTTTACTATATATCAGTGCACAACTTCAGTTGTAACAGTACAGACTTGGTTACATTAGACGTCGGAAATTGATTTATATCAAAGACAATGAGTAAAACTGTTATGGATAAATCTGAGTCTTCAGATGAGGAAGATAGTGAATCCCTATCTTTATTTCCCTCACGTCCAATTATTGAGGATGCTGATGAGCTTAAATTTCATCCGGGTTTGTTCTTATTTATATAAATGAATTTATAATTTAAATATATTTTTAATTGGAACTGATATATTAAAGTTTATTGTGTGCATTATCGAATATCACAATGATTGTGTAAGATGTAACATATAACATACTTTAGAATATACAAATATGCATTACATAGTAAACTGTCTACAAGTATTCGGAAATAAAAAAATTACAGCTCTATAGCCTATTCTGTAAAACCATAAGCAATGAGTTCCATAGAGCAATATTAATCTAGCGTTATCACATTTTAAACACCCGAAATGCAAGAAAAAAGTTGACAATTTTTTTTAGTTGTCACTCTATAGTAGTACACATAACCTTAAAATTATTTCCTAATAAACCATGGGTATATGAAAACTAGTTCTAAACCAATTTTTTAAAATTAGATAAAATGAAACTGAATAAAAGTTTAAACCTCACAAAAGCTTTAAAAGTTAAAATGAATTATATTATAAATGAACTATATTTGGCTATGAAGAAATTTTTAATTCTAAATGGATTTCTTTTTGAAAGGTGTTTATCTACAATTTCTCAATACTTCCGAAGTTTATGAGTTACTAGAGCAGATCTATAGTGCAGTGGCGGAAGAAGACGAAGAGTTTAATCAAAGCTTCGTGAAGAACTTTGCCTATTCTAAGCTTTTGCGGAAATACAAGGACAAAAAGTCCATGACAGATATTCGCAAGTAAGTATGAGTATACAAACTAAATCAAGATTTTTTATTAATACTAATCCATTAGCTAGTGGATGTGAAAGTTAGAACAGATTTTAGAACTAGCATTATTATTTTAATTTATGTGCTGTACATATAATTGAATATGAAAAATTTTCTCTCTTTATTCAGGTTCCTTGAAGAAAAAGATCTTCATCCTTATCAAGTAGCTTCGTTGTCTACTTTGTGTCCTCAGTCTGTTGATGAAGCAATTTCTTTAATTCCATCTCTTGAAGAGAAGGATATTTCAGTTGTGAAGGAAATTATTGAAGAGCTGGATCTGAAACATACCCTTTTATAATTTTGAACATTTAACATTATTTGTACTATCTAATGCGAAATGCAGTTGATCAATAAATGAAATAACAAACATTAAAAATTGTCTCTATTACTTTAAAATACTTTTTAATCTATCTTATTTATAAATGCAATTTGTTTTTTCTGAAAAATTGGTTCTACAACAAGTCTAAGCGTCTGAGTTAAAATAGCCTAACAGAGTTATAACGAAAAACATAGAAAAACATATGACATGTAATTTGCCTCTGTTAAAAAAATCCTTAATTCTGAAAAGGTACATGTAATGGGAAAAACATATCTGTTCAAACATATAAACTCTCGAACCTATTATTTAGTGTATGATCACAAATATTTTGTTAGTGGACTCACCAATCAAACCTATAGCGAACGCAACATGCTTTGCTTGGACAAGACCATATAGAAAAAACTCTAATATCAGATCACAAATATTCACAAAGCTCATAGTTCACGTGTACGAAGGGAGCGAAGACTAAGTAGAGTTTTTTGGTACTGAATGGACAGACAACAACAACACTTACTCCACTATTTTTTGTTATTACACACTTACTAAATGTCTTTGAATGCGAAGGTAAGTGAGGCATTACCCAGTAGAAAATGGATCGATCCGTCATCGAAGCTGTCTTCAAGACATAGATACATACATATAAACCGATCGATACAAATGTATGACAGTTTTCGAAGACATTTTCAAACAATTTAGTGACAGTTTTCGAAGACATTTTCGAACAAGATTGTCTCGAAGACCATGTCTTGCATATCGGACCCACTCGATTGAAAGTTGTTGAAGGTGTTGCATAGACTTTGTTTTTGAACTGCTTTTTTTTAAAATATAAAATAGGTTTCGTGTGCATGCCTTCCATAAGTACTTCCAAAATATTTTAAATTTGATTTTTGATGAAATAAGCTCCGGCAGTAGCGCAACCATAGTTGTTGTTAGTGTAAATGCTCTTAATATGTTCGGTAGTAAAGACAGTACTATATCCTATAGTAGCAATAATATCATGCAAAATATTAATAAGCACTACGTTATTTAAAAATTCTTTTATAATTTAAGTTATAAGTTATTTTAAAGTAATAGACAATTTTTAATGTTTGTTATTTCATTTATTGATCAACTGCATTTCGCATTAGATAGTACAAATAATGTTAAATGTTCAAAATTATAAAAGGGTATGTTTCAGATCCAGCTCTTCAATAATTTCCTTCACAACTGAAATATCCTTCTCTTCAAGAGATGGAATTAAAGAAATTGCTTCATCAACAGACTGAGGACACAAAGTAGACAACGAAGCTACTTGATAAGGATGAAGATCTTTTTCTTCAAGGAACCTGAATAAAGAGAGAAAATTTTTCATATTCAATTATATGTACAGCACATAAATTAAAATAATAATGCTAGTTCTAAAATCTGTTCTAACTTTCACATCCACTAGCTAATGGATTAGTATTAATAAAAAATCTTGATTTAGTTTGTATACTCATACTTACTTGCGAATATCTGTCATGGACTTTTTGTCCTTGTATTTCCGCAAAAGCTTAGAATAGGCAAAGTTCTTCACGAAGCTTTGATTAAACTCTTCGTCTTCTTCCGCCACTGCACTATAGATCTGCTCTAGTAACTCATAAACTTCGGAAGTATTGAGAAATTGTAGATAAACACCTTTCAAAAAGAAATCCATTTAGAATTAAAAATTTCTTCATAGCCAAATATAGTTCATTTATAATATAATTCATTTTAACTTTTAAAGCTTTTGTGAGGTTTAAACTTTTATTCAGTTTCATTTTATCTAATTTTAAAAAATTGGTTTAGAACTAGTTTTCATATACCCATGGTTTATTAGGAAATAATTTTAAGGTTATGTGTACTACTATAGAGTGACAACTAAAAAAAATTGTCAACTTTTTTCTTGCATTTCGGGTGTTTAAAATGTGATAACGCTAGATTAATATTGCTCTATGGAACTCATTGCTTATGGTTTTACAGAATAGGCTATAGAGCTGTAATTTTTTTATTTCCGAATTCTTGTAGACAGTTTACTATGTAATGCATATTTGTATATTCTAAAGTATGTTATATGTTACATCTTACACAATCATTGTGATATTCGATAATGCACACAATAAACTTTAATATATCAGTTCCAATTAGAAATATATTTAAATTATAAATTCATTCATATAAATAAGAACAAACCCGGATGAAATTTAAGCTCATCAGCATCCTCAATAATTGGACGTGAGGGAAATAAAGATAGGGATTCACTATCTTCCTCATCTGAAGACTCAGATTTATCCATAACAGTTTTACTCATTGTCTTTGATATAAATCAATTTCCGACGTCTAATGTAACCAAGTCTGTACTGTTACAACTGAAGTTGTGCACTGATATATAGTAAAAAATTTACTTTTTATCAATTTGGTTTTTCATTTCGTTTCTGACATTTATTTCAAGGGTACGTTCAGTATAATCAGTTTACTCAACAGAGTTTTTAGAAATTGATATAAGGATTAGCATTACTTATAACGGTTGGAGTTTGTAACATGATGTTGAATAAGATCATCAATTGTATTTTTTTTAAGTTGAAATTAATACTATGTCCAGACACATCTAAACATTTCAAAAATCTTAATTTCGTCTTTGTTTCAGCGAAACTAATTTGTTTTCCCACACGAAACTCAGTTTTAAGATTACAACGAGATTAAAAAAGATAGCCTTATATGGCGTTTACACTGGCTGAAAATGGCTCATTCTGAATGAGTCATTTGAAAGTGTTTACATTCGTTGTATTTCATTTTTTCTCATTTCAAACAGCTGATTTTTCAACTTGCATGTTGATTTAATTTTTGGCCTGTGCCAAAAAAAATGTTACAGGAAGGTTAAATATACCTTTAAACCTTACAATATAAACTGAAAACTTATTTCTAGATTCGATTTATTTATTTTTGGGAAGTAGAAGTTCCAAAAATTGGTGCATCGTTTTAAAGAAAATTCAACCACCAAACATTTGTTTACCTTTTTTTGTAAATATGTCAAAACAGCTTTTTCAAACTGTCAAAATGCCATGAAGAGCTTTCATTTAGGGTATGTTCAATGGATTCCCTTGCATTTGGAACATATGTGGAATGCATCCGAACGTCTTTCATACAGAATGTGAGAAAATTGCTCATTTTCGAGCTTGAAATTTTATATGCAAGATTGAGCCATTCGCTACTCATTTTCGATTTTTGACCAAAATGAGCCATTTTCGGCCAATGTAAACGCCATATTATATTAAGGGAAATTTTAAATGAAGTTATGCGAAAGATAAATTTTAATCAATGGATAAGTTGGTATAACGTAAAAGTGACATTTATTATTAAAAATAGCTGACTTTCGTAAAACCGCGAAAATATTTTAAAAGTTGTGTAAATTATTATAATTTAATATAGTGAAAAAACTGTAACACTTATTATTTTAAAATAGAGTAAAAAATAATAATCCACACACCTGTAATCCACCAAAGCTAATAAAACTTGTCATCCTTTATGGTTAAGATAATCAACTTTTAAAATTTTCCAGATACAAATGGTGTTTTGAGGATGTAATTTTTAACATTCGATTTGTAAACAAAAAACATATGGTTTGCTTGATTTGGGGCAATATGAATACTTTTCAATTTAACATAATTTCATTTTAACGAAATAAAGGAAATTTGGGTGTCTGAACCTAGTATAAAATACGTCATTTACACTGGCTAAAAATGGCTCATTTTGGTCAAAAATCGAAAATGAGAAGCGAATGGCTCATTCTTGCATACAAAATTTGAAGCGCGAATGCATTCCATTTCAATACATTCGTATGAATGCAATACAACGACGTTCAGATGCGTTCTAATACGGCGTTTACATTGGCCGAAAATGGCTCATTTTGGATGAGTCATTTGAAAGTGTTTACATTCGTTGTATTTCATTTTATCTCATTTCATTTCATTTCTGTGCCAAAAAAATGTTACAGGAAGGTTAAATATACCTTCAAACCTTACAATATAAACTAAAAACTTGTTTCTAGATTCGATTTATTTATTTTTGGGAAGTAGAAGTTCCAAAAATTGGTGCATCGTTTTAAAGAAAATGCAACCACCAAACATTTGTTTATCTTTTTTTGTAAATATGTCAAAGCAGCTTTTTCAAACTGTCAAAATGCCATGAAGAGCTTTCATTTAGGGTATGTTCAATAGATTCCTTTGCATTTGGAACATATGTGGAATGCATTCGAACGTCATTCATACAGAATGTGAGAAAATTGCTCATTTTGTGCTTGAAATTTTATATGCAAGAATGAGCCATTCGATACTCATTTTCGATTTTTGACCAAAATGAGCCATTTTCGGCCAATGTAAACGTCATATAAATATGTTCCAAATACAAAGGAATAAATTGAACATGCCCTAAATAAAAGCTTTGCATGGCATTTTGATAGTTTGAGAATGCTGTTTTTAAGATATTTACAAAAAAAGGTAAACAAATGTTTGGTGACTGCAATTCTTTGAAAATGATGCACCTCTTTTTGAAACTTCCATTTCCTAAAAAGTAATTAATCGAAGTTAAAAATTTGTTTTAAGTTTATATTGTAAGGTTTGAAGGCATATTTAACCTTTATGCAACAAAAATCAAATCAACATGTTGAAAAATCAGAGACAAATCAAAGGCAAGTTGAAAAATCAGCTGTTTGAAATGGGAATGAATGAAATACAGGGAATGTAAACACTTTCAAATGGCTCATTCAGAATGAGTTATTTTCGGCCAATGTAAACGCCATATATAAGACAAAAAATGTCAAATGCAACCCTTAATAATAAATATCCCATTGGAGAAATGACTGAAACTTGATATATTTGTCAATTGTTATATGTATATGTGTAATGTAAATAAACAACAGCTGAGCTGTAATCACTGAGGAAGTTAGTATTTAATTAAAGCTTTGTTATTATTAATTGAGTATGTAATTGATATGTAAAATGTATATAAATGATTTAATATATCAATTATACATTTAATTTGTGTGTGTAAAATATTATTAAGTGCAGTTTATTTAGGCAAACAGAATTCAAAGATTTTTCTGACACATGTCAAAAGAAATGACAAAATATTTACGTTAGTTAAGTAACTTACTAAGTAAGCAGTGGAAACGTGATAAGCTACTTTAACCGTATTAGGAACTCAACTCGCTTTTTTAGCATCAAACTGGCAAACAATAAAACATAGAGATATTCAAAAAACTTTTTCAAAGCATCCGGTGCATGTATGCCAAGAGCAAACTGAAGTATTGAAGACTACAGTCTGTTATATTTTGTACAAATAGTTAGGTGAATGAAAGGTGGATGTATGATCTACTCTAATGGACGACCGAAAATCTATCCTGAAGAAGTCCGTCAAATCCGGAATTTCCGAAATTAACTGAAAACAAAATGTCAAAATGCTACAAGAAATTTAGCAGAAAAGCCAAAAGAGAGAAAACCACAATCATCAGAGCAATACAAATATATTGGTGATCGTTCCTTTTTCATATTGGTGATCGTTTAAAAGAATTAAAATATTTAATTTAATTTGTTGGTGAATATAATCACAACTGAATATAAATTTTGTTTCAAAAAATAAGTCTCAAAAGATTAGATGGAAATAAAGAATGTTAAAAATAAAACGATTGGAGGACAGAATTTCCGGCCCGGTTCTCGAATTCAAAATTCACTTGGTTTTGAAAGATAACTATTTCATTTGTCCAAAAGGAGTGGCGTGATTGTGTTGGTTTTAGTGACTTAAGAGCTTCTGCCCAACCAAAGAGTAAAGGCACTAGTTAGTTACTACAAAAGAGATTATAAAAATCTGAGTTTATAAAACTACCCTCCAATATAGGAGATTATTTATTGAAGATTTTTATTTAGACTTTCATAGTAGAAAGTTTTAGTCTTGCTAGAACCTTTGTAGATAAAGTGTTGTTATTCTTTCTTCTTCTTTCTTACAGTGCTTGCATTTCTTGCTGAAAGTAATGTCCAATTGACCAGTTAGTAGTAATATACAATTATCATCAAATTTTTTACAGTCCATTGTAGGTTTTCATTTCCGATTAGCATACGAAAGGCTATTCTACGGAATGAATATAAAAAAAGTTTTGAAAAATTTATTAATCGATTCTAGGGTTGTTAAGAAATAGTAAGGTTGTGTTTTTGAATAGTGGTGAATAGCTATATTTTTATATATATATAATTAGTTCAAGTTTCGGGTGATCACACAGCTGCTATGAGTATTGTCACATACCCATTATTAGTGTTTTTTTTAGAAATATTTCTTATTTTAAATTATTTGTATATATATTTTTTAAGACTGCAAGCACTACGGTTGAACTTAATAAAAATATTTTGAATATATAAAAACTAAAATCAATATGACATAACTTTTATAGAGACTAATCTACTGGATCGTGGAAGGCCTGTTTTGTATGTGACATTTCATTAAAATAAACGCGTTCTAACTTAGTCTAGTTTTCTAGTCTTATATGAGTGAAACTGTGATATGTGACGTTTAAAGCACTGTTTCTATTCGATCTGCATTAAAGCTTTCCTAGCATTTGTTAGCAAAATCAGAACTATTATAGTAAATATAAGCTTTTTAGTATTCTAGAAAGAAGACTGTAATAAATCAGATCTAGGGAGAGATGGCATATAAGCCGCTTATACGCAAAAGCAATGAATTATAAAAGCAGAATTATAGTAATATCAAAATTTTATAAAAATGACCTAAATCGTACGCTAAATCAGTTCTATATAATATATTTAAATTAAGAATACAAATATATTAATAAATTTAGATAAAATTAACTTAAATTAATTTGCTTAAATATCTAATTTCAAATAGTCCCACTAGAAAGTCAAGTCCTTCGTACCATGCAGTGGAGGTCTCATATTAGAAAATATTGGTTTAAAGCAACAGAGGCTAGAACTATGACAATAACGTGTTAAGTACATAATAAAATAAATTGCATACCTACGAATTTATTTAATATCGGTAAATATTATAGGTATATTATTGTGTATTTGTATAAGCTAATAAATACACTGACTGCATACCAGAGCTAGTTAGTTTCAGCAAGCATGGGATAGAGTGGTTTACTCCAGCGAGTAAATGTTGAATCGTAAAAGTGATATCACATCATTGAATATCATAAAGCAATTAATATCAACGTCACTTTAGAGGAATAAGCGTAAGTGAAGCACGAAAGTGCGAGTGTGTCTCCAACAAAATTTCGATTAACTTTTCTAGAGCACAGTATACCTGGACAAAAGTGTGCCAGTGCGTGTCTATATCTGTAAGTTGTCCAACTCAAAGATAAAAACACAAATAATGCACACATAGGCAA